AGAGGCTTTGCTGTGGGGCAGCCAAGGCATTCAGATCCCCTCAGCTACACCCAGGGTCCCTAAACCATCTAGCGCAGCTATTAAGAGCCAGGGAATAGTTCAGTAGATAGAGTATTTGCCACACGGGCAGACCCTGAGTTCATTCCCCAGCACCCAGGCACATGGACCCACATCTGTAATGTGGAACACTAAGGAGGCAGAACCAGGTGGAGCCCCGGAGCTCAGTGACCAACCAATCAACCTAGCTGAATCAGTGAGCTTCAGGCTCAATGAATGACCCTGTCTCGAATAATAAGGTAGAAGGCAGGTGTGGTGGGGCACACCTTTAATCCCAGAACTCGGGAGGCAGAGGCAGGCAGGTCTCTGAGTTTGGATACAGAGAAACCCTGTCTCAAAGTACTCTAATAATAATAATAATAATAAATAATGATAAGGTGGAAACTGACTGAGGCAGAATTCCACACCACACAGCCACACACAAACATTACATATACATATACTGCACACATACCACATACCAAGAGCTTTGGAACCTGAAACCTGGTATTGGGTTATGGCTCTGTCCCTTGATTATTGGGTAAGTCTGTGTGGGTTCCACTCATCTCCTTGTCTGTAAAATGGGGGAAATTGTGTCCCCCACATGGGGCTGATAGATCACCTTGAAATTTGGCTAGGTCTGCTGTTGGGCATGTGCGCATGCTCAGTAATGTTTAAAATGGCAATGGGAACTGCAGGTAGCCATGCCTTGCATGCCTGTGCACACCATGCAGCAACAAGACACTGGTAACAGACCAAGGGCTGCTGTGAGGCTCTGAGAAAATAAATTCCATAATGTTCTAAACTTGCCCCTTCTTGCTAAAAGGGGCTTCATGGCCACATGGCATGATGTGGTCTCAGGAACTGCACGGTGCCGTTCCTTCCCATTCTCTCCCTCATCCTCTGACCCCTGTGGAAAATTCACCCTGAGGGATGACTGCTCCCCTCTCTCTGCTTTGCTAGTACAGGGTGCCACGGTAGATGGCCCTTGTCTGAGCTTAGTTTCTCCAGTTTTCAAAGTGTCAGGAAAACACACAGATGCAGGTAATTTCTAAATGCTTTTAGAGGCAGCTAAGAGCAGAGCTGTGTGCCAGCATGGGGTGCAAACAGACTCCCAGGTGGCATTGGCTCTGGCCTTCTGGAAAAGCATAAACAGAGCACAGCAGCCAATTTTATCATTAACTGGGAATTGATCTCCAATTAGGATGCTTCTGCTGGGAGAAAATGGCCAGCCCTCCCTCTTTCTCCAGGCCCTGACACACTCATACTTGAGTGTGTTTGGGGGTTGAATTGTTGACAGCTCCAGATGGAGCTCAGTGACAGGGAAGGCACAGTTGGGGTCCTGGGCTGAGGTACAGGAAGGACAAATGATGGAAATGATCTTCATTCACGAACGATTGAAATTCCAAGATGGTGGAACTGGAGGTATGGTTCCATTAGTGCTCATTCAGCTTGCACAGGGTCCTGGGTTTGATCCTCAGCACCACAGAAAACTGGATGTGGTAGTATACTACTGTAACACCAACACTCTAGAAGTTCAGGGTCATCCTCTGCTTTGTTATGTAGTGAGTTTGAATCCAACCTGGGCTACATGAGATCCAGTCTCAAAAAAAAATTTTTTTTCAATATGGTATCAGCAGAACATGAAGCCAGGAGTGGAAACTTCCTCTGCACACTCTTGTTGTAGAATATTATTTTAAGGTGTGTTACATTTGTTTATGCTCTGGAACATTTGTTTAACGATTTAGAGATGTGTTGTTTTTGCTTGTGCTGCATTTGTTTAAGTCAGTGAAGCTGTGATTCTTTGCCTGATGGTCTAATAAAGAGCTGAATGGCCAATAGCAAAGCAGGAGAAAGGATAGGCGAGGCTGGCAGGCAAAGAGAATAAATAGAAGGAGAACTCTGGAAAGAGAGGGAGCAAGAGAATAAGGAGAAGAGGGTGCTAGGGGCTGGCCCAGTCAGCCATGGAGTAAGAGTGAAAGTAAGATATATAGAAGTCACAGAGAAACCCTGTCTCGAAAAACTTAGAGAGAGAGAGAGAGAGAGAGAGAGAGAGAGAGAGAGAGAGAGAAAGGGAAAAGCCCAAGCCCAGAGGCAAAAGGTAGATGAGATAATTTAAGACAAGCTGGCAAGAAACAAACCAAGCTAAGGCTGGGCATTTATAATTAAGAATAAGCCTTTCTGTGTGATTTATTTGGGAGCTGGCTGGTGGGCCCCCAAAAGAGTAAAGAGTAAAGAACAAAGAGTAATAAGAGTAAAAAACCAACAACAGCACACTCTCCACCCTGGGTGGTTGTATAATTAGGCATACACATAGCTGGCCTTGGATCCTGGATCACACCTCCATAATTTAGGAATATTCCAATGTTGGGAGCTCAGAATGGGGACAGCAGCTCCAGAGACCCCCACAAGAAAGGAGGCCAAACAATGAGAGCAAAGTCAACAAACAGGGACAAAAATCTACTACAACAGTCCATTTTGAAGGCAATTTGGCAAGACATGCCATTATCGCACAACTCTTTGGTTGAGCAATTCTACTTCTAGAAGTCTCTCCCATGCTTACCTTTGCACAAAGGAAATAAACCGCACTTGGCAATGACTCTTCCTTGGGAGCCTCCACCCTTTACCAGAGACATCAATGCCTCTGTGGCCGAGACTCCTGTGTGGCTGGAAAGGAAGCTGAGCTCTAGCACTTGACTGAAGGGTGAATCCAGGTCACGCTGTGTGAAGAATAGGGCATTTGACCCAGGCTAAAGGAACCCGAGGAGAAATTCCCCGCACCTTTGTGTCAGGGTCCCCAGGGGTGATGTGGAGTAAGGTCGGTGGCAAAATTCCCTGCTTTACTTGTTTCTGCAAGAATGCTTGGAATGACTGCAAGCTGGTTCGTGAGGAGAAATAAGTCTCCGGGTATTTCCATCTAAAACTCGTGATCCTCCTGCCTCAGCCTCCTGAGGAGTGGCATGGTAGGCATGTGTCACCAGCTCAGAAAGGTCTTTGAAAGGCAAGCAGCACCGGCTCTGGATCCTGAGCTTGGACATGATATGGGCATGCTGGAGTCGCAACTCACATGCATTTGCACTGTGTGGGTCAATGGGGTCTCATGTGTTCACAGAGTTGTGCAACCATCACCATAAGCCACTGCAGAGCCTTTGGTCACCCCAGTAGAAACAAGGCTCTCCTCTGCAGTCACTCACAGTGCTGTGGCAGGCGTGGCTATGCTGTTCCAGCTGCCACGTAATGTCCACTTGAAAATGTCAGAGCTTCCCAGTGCCTGACATTGAGACTTGCCTTCTCTAGGCTGTCATTTTAAATGGTCTCTACCACAAGATGGTCGGGGCTCACATGAGAGGAGTGTGCTGCCTCTGTATCGGGTAGTCTGCACTTTGAGGAGGAGATGGACTTTGCAGTGACATGGGGGAATGGAAGATGAGCTAAAATAGCGTAAACTCCACGACTTCAATGCCAGGGGCTTAGTGGGAAACAGCTACCTAAGAGGCCAGCTTGTCTTACCAGGTTCACGTTTCTCACAGTGCTTGCTCGCTTGGGTGGTTGCTGGGTTTGGGTTTTGCTGTGTTCCTGTACAGTTACAGGTGTAAAAGTTCCCACCATAGACTCTTTCCAAATTCATTCCCCCTTTCCAGAATGCATCTTAATCCAAAAGTAATATTGGAATCATTGTCTTTGTTAATGCTCATCCAACATTTGCCCAGCCTGTGTTTATTTGCTCACCCCCTGCCCCGTGTGGTGTGTGTGTGTGTGTGTGTGTGTGTGTGTGTGTGTGTGTTCTGTGCTGGGGACTGAACCTAGAGCCTTGTACATGTCAGGCAAACACTCTACAATGGAGCTATATCCCCAGCCAACATTCCTTCTACTTTTAACCTTTGCCATTTTGTATTTTGTGCCTACTTATTTGTATTTGTGTGTGGATGTGTGCTTGCATATATGTGCATGTGGAGGCCAGAGGTTGACACACAGGGTGTCTGCCTTGATTGCTCTCTACCTTATACAAGGATGTGGGATCTCTCACCTGAACTCAGAATTTGCTAAATTGGTGAGTCTAGTTAGCTAGCTTGCTTGCCCCTGGGAATCAACGGTCTCTGCCTTCTGAGTGCCAGGGTTATGGGCCCAGAACTGATTTGGGTGCTGGTGATTTGAATTCCAGTCCTTTGTGGGGTGCCACTACTCTCCTGTCTTTGCAAAGCAGCATCCTCATGATCTCTTTGTTAACTGAGCATTTAGGGTTTTTTGTTTGTAGGCGGTTTTGTTGTTGTTTGGACAGTTCAAAGCTTGAAGAGCTTATTGCTTTCATTAGGGGTTATGAATACTAAGGTAAACAATACTAAGTTCAAACAGCTGTTAAATCTTCTAGATATACTCACTTCACATTTGAGGAATCTAGCGGTATTGTCATTGATACAACCAGTTAAAGGCCCAACCACTTGTGGGTAGCAGGGTCGGTGTGTTTGGGGCACTTTTAGCACCAAGGTCCCTGAAGCCTCTGGCTCTGATGGAAGCATAGAAGCATCATCTCAAGCTCATTGGTCGTCCTCAGCTGTCATTTACTGGGACCAGGAGCCTGACTCTGTCTTGTTTTGGAGTTATCAGTCTACATGAAGTGGAAATTCGTTCTATGTTGTGTGGAGAGACAAGGAGGGTCAAGGGTGGGATGCAGAAGTCCCCAAGGACAAACTGCACAGTCTGGGTCATGAGAGTCTTGGGATTGGGACCTTGACTCCCATCTCTCATGGCTGCAGAGGCCAGTCTCCTGGGTGATTCTAGGTTTTATCTGACCATCACCCAAAACAAGGACCACTGGCCCTGAGAAGTTCTTGGCATCAGCAGCATTGAAGAGGCCAAGGGTCCCAGTCAATTTACTGAGAGCCAGTCTCTGGTATCTGGAGAGGCACTAACTTCAGGACAGTGAGAGCCGAGTCTGGCCTGATACCCCCCTTTCACTTGTGCAGCCCTGGCCCCTCTATAGGCCCTACAAATCTGCAACAGCGTCCTCTGAGGCCACGCCCTGCTGACTGCTCCCACTCCCGGCTGTCCTGGGCAGAGAGTTTGTCCATGGATGGCTTCTGGATGGAGGTGGAACGAATCCAACAGAAGGGCGAAGCAAAGGAGGAGGCCAGTGGTGGAAGCAGAAGTCAACTCCTAGAAGGTGAGGAATCCTGGCTGACCTGCAAGGTGGATGTTAGGGCCTTATTCCAGGCGAGGAATGTGTCAGGACCCACATATGACGAGACATGCAGGATTTCTTCTTTGCTTGGACTGTTGCTGTAGTCGCTCCATTTGTTGTAATTTTTTTAAAAGTGGCTGGAGAAAGACGCCATGTGACAGAGTTCAAGTGGAGGGGTTTTTATTAAGGGGGTAAGGATCGTAAAAAAGGGGAAGGTGAGGAGGGGAGAGCAGCCTCCAGGGGCAGGAGCAGAGGGAGAGAGGAAACAGAGGCAGAGGGGAGGGCCACAGACAAAGAGAGGGAAAGAAAGAAAGAGGGATGGGAGGTGAGCAGGGGGCCCTTTTAAAAGGGAACATAATGAATGTGCACAGGTGGTGCTCTTAGTGGCAGCAGCTGAGGGCATATCCTGTCAGACTCCAAAGGCAGCCAGCACAGATGCCTAAATACTAACACCATCGCTTTCCCTGATATATGTTTTCTATGCCATTGTCAAAAGGATCCCTGATAAGGCCAGTCAGTTTGCTCCCTATTTGATGGAATAATTCAGGAAACATCTATCCAGTGTCTCATGTCTGCCAGGTGGTGGATTTTTTTGTTTTGTTTTGTTTTTGTTTTTTTGAGACAGGGTTTCCCTGTGTAGCTCTGGCAGTCCTGGAACTCACTGTGTAGACCAGGCTGGCTTCGAACTCAGAGATCTGCCTGCCTCTGCCTCCTGAGTGCTGGGATTAAAAGTCTGCACCATCATACCCACTGGGATACAATGGAGAACACCACACAGTTTAGGAGGACCTGGCATTCTAGTAGATTCTAAGCACTCTGCACATTACTCAACTACCCCACTGCTTCAGGGCACCAGCAGCATGTATCCCTGTGACCACATCAAAGGTCCCTAAACATGGAGACATAGAGCAGCACCAAGCCATTGCAACATATCTCATGGTTCTGTAGGTGACAGGGCTTGGTTGGGGGGTTTCTTAGGGTCTCTCCTTCAGTGTCAAGTCCAAGGTCATCTGGGTCAGAGCCATCCCAAAGGGCTTCTTACCCCTGTGTTCTGCAGCGAATGTGACCTGGGTCCAGACATCTCTATGTGGCCTCTATGTGTGGCCCAGGCCTCCTCACAACACAGCTTTTGGCTGTGAAGAGTAAGAACCTGGGAAAGAGCCAGAGTGGCTATTCCTGGACAGCCTTGGGAAACTGCTACCATAGCTTTACACTTCCTATTACCCTGTGTGCACCCATATTCCAGGAGAGGGAACTCAAACACCACCTCTTGGTGGGATGACATTTCCCTGGCCCACAAGCCTTTCCAGAACTGGCCTGGGGCCCATCTCCACCTCATTTTCCAGGCTGCTACTCCACCGCTCTCTCCTCTCTCCAGGCCTCCTTGCTGTTTCTGCCCATGAAAGCATACCCCTATCTTTGTCCTCATTATCCCTTCTTTCTAGAATATTCTTTGTCTAGGTACCTTACAGGATCTATGATTGGCCAGTTGCTTGCCTCAGAAGTGGTTTCTGACTTCCCTCTCTATACCATAGCTCTCTGACAACCCCCAGACTCCGGCCCAATGTTATCCATTGCTGTAGCAATCCTCATGCCTTGACATTATCATAGCGTTTGCTCACATACTGCCATCTTCCACCTTCCATGAGGCCAGGGCATCACCAGCCCTTCCCACTTCAGCCTGTGTGCTGGTATCTGGGACAACTGGGCGCCTTCCCATGCCCCATCTTTCCTTGTTCAGCAGGTGAGGGAGTGATAAGTGTGGGACAAGGCTGCCTGCGTGGAAACTTTCCGGTCTGGCCTATGCTTCAGCTTTGCTGACCTTGGGTGGTCAAATAGGCCGTTTGGGACTTTCAGGTCTTTATAGGGAGCCAATGGGCTAGTGCAGGGGCTCCAATAAATGCCAGTCCTTGACAACGCCAGAAGTAGATGTAGGAGACAGGCTTTCTTGCATTATACCACAGCTAGCAAGTACATCAAAAACCAAACACAGGGACTGCAGTCAGAGTGCCGAAGGCTGGAGACTTTTCAGACAACAAAAGAAACACAGGGCTTGTGTAAACTCAGGACAGAGGGAGCCGGGAGCATGCATAGTTCATTATCGTCATTTAGCGTAGGAAGGATGGCTTTTGTTGTGACGTTTTCACACAAGTAGATCGTTCTACTTTGCTCTTACATGCCTCCCACTGACCTCTCCCAACCCTGCTCCTCTTATTGTTCGCATATGACAGGAGACGGTGAGTACTTCACTTAGAGTGAGGATATTGTTCCTTTACAACAGCTTTAAGGTAGTCCCTACTGTTTATTGCTCTTGCTAGCAGCTGGACCGTGAGAAAGGAGCCTAAAAATGGGTCAAATTAAAGTCTCATACAACAGCCAACTTTATTCAGAGCATCAGACAATTTATACTCTGAGGGTTGAGAAGAGTCACTTGAGTAAAGTGTGCAATCACATGGACAAGCCACAAAAACATGTTCTTCCATAGAGGCATAGAAACAAATAATAGCCAGTCGTAACGAGGAATCTGAAGTAAACTCACCCCTATCCCCTACCCCTGGGAGGGGCACAAAAGCACATTCCAAGAGCAATTCCTTGTTTTGAAGAAACTGAGGTCACAAGACTTATGTCTTCTTTTCATGGAGTTTTCTCACGAGCAGTCAGAATTCTCACAATTCTGTTCTTGGACGTGTTCTGACGTCTACAAGTGGCCACGAGGCTCTGCTTGCCTTTGAGTTTTCTTTTCTCCCGTCTCTTTTTGCCAGATGCTGCCAGAGCCTAGGCATGCCTCCTCTGTTACTTTGTGCTTTCCATCAATTCTACAAAGCTCCCTACCCTCCACGCGCCTGCTTGTCCTCTGTGGCTGACCTGCCAACTTAACTTCAACAGCGTGGCCTTTTCTCTCTCTTCTTTCCCTCCTCTGGACAGCAGCTGAGATTTACAGCTTGCCTGACCTAGAATTTTTTCTATTTAGCTCTAATAAAATTGTCCTCAAGCTTAATAATAATAATAATAATAATAATAATAATAATAATAATAATGTAAAAGTGTGATCAATGATTAAGAGCAAAATATTTAGTAAATAATCGTGCAAGGATAGTTAAATCTAGATAAACATTATAAGAATGTATTAGTTGTCTTTCTTAGGGCTATGCTAGAATATCTGACAGAAAAACTATAGTCTTCAAAGATTTACTTTTATTTTATGCATATGGGTGCTTTACCTACTTGTGTTTCTGCACAACATGTGCATGCAGTACCTAAAGAGGCCAGAAGAGGGCATCAGTTCCTCTGGAGTTGGAGTTACAGACCATTGTGAGCTGCCATGTGGGTGTTGAGGTCAGAACTGGGGGCCTGTGGAAGAGCGAGCGTCCAGTGCTCTTAACTACTGAGTCGTCTCCCACAGCCCTTGTTTGGTTATTTTTGAAACCATCAGCTCCTTCCTGAAGACTACCTTGTTGAACACATGATGTACAACTCACTCACACTGCCAGGCCTCTTGAAGGTCTGTACAGCTTCCTTGGTAAAAACTTGGCTTTTTCCCCGTGACAAAACCTCCCTAGAGTGGTCTGAAGAGCACCTCGAGTCAGGGTAGCTGGGGACAAGTGGCCTAGGCCGCACCTGAGACCCTGACATGAGGTCCCAGAGCAGAGTCCCCACAGGTGGGACTGGAAACTGTAGTCCCAGCAAGGTTTTGCTAAAGGATGCTGGCACTATTCCAACATATAAAGGTCTTGAATGGAGGGTCCATGCTGTGCATGGCTGGACCGTCATGATCCTGTAGCTGGTGTCTTTGCCAGAACTCGGAGTGGAAGAGGTTTTGTGGCTGTATTCCAGAACAAGAGTGTATGGGGGCCCTGCCTGTCTTGCTGTCTCTAAGAGTTCACACATACAAGTTTAAATCTGGATGCTAGCCAATGTTGTAAACACCCCTAATTCTCACCTCGAAGAAATGGGTTGGTGCTAATGGGCCTCAATATGAGCCCTGCAGAAGCCCCTCGTGTGTGTAAACATATGATTCTATGTGAGGCTTACATTAGTGAGCACGGCTAAGCCACATATGGAGTTGTTCTGTGTGTTTATCTGATACCCTCCCTCTGTCGGCCAAAGGGGACACTGAATCGCAGTGGCTACAGGACACAGGTTTGTCTGGCCTTGTTGATGGTCTGGGCTCAGATGGTGATCACCAGGGACTCCTGTCTACACTGACACAGACCCAGGTGGCTGCTGTGTGCCGCCGGCTAGACACCTATGCCCGCTCAGCTCGAAGACGACACAAGCCACCCATCAGAGATGTCAGGGATATCTTTGGGGTCTTCACTTCAAGGGTGAGTAAGGGCCCCTAGGTACTGTCCTTTGGGGCTTCTGTGACATCATGCCCGCTCCCGTGTGCCTTTCTGCTGCCACTGTGTCCCCGGGCCATGTGTGGGGGGTGTGTGTATGTGTGTGCTTGTTGCCACCATGTCCTTGGATGCATCTGAAAGTTTAGGTTCCGGCTAAGTCATTACCAATATGAACATAATTTTTATTGCCACATGCATGTTCTGCTGACACTGAAACCTGACAAGCTGTGGGCATCTTCTTTCTGGATCCCATAGGAAGGGCCCAACCCTGTGGTTAAAATGATAGGCATCAAAGCCAGGCAGTCAGGCCCTCATGTTTCTCCCCATCCATTCAGCTGCTGTGGGATCTTAGCCAAGAAACTCAGCCTCTCTGAGCTTCAGTCCCTCCCAGGGTCTGTGTATCAACTCCCACAGGACTAACTGATGGTGTCTGCAATTTGTATAGGACGTGGCTTCAGAGAATGGGGCCTCCGGAATGAAATGGATCCAGATCCATTCTGTGGGTTCTGTATCTCCTGTAGGTAAGTGGCCTTCCTTCTCCAGGGCCCTGGGAATCCAGGCTGCATAAACTTCTCTGTGAAGCAAGAGAATGCTCCCCTCTGCACCTTCCGCTGGCTCCTCTCCCTCCCTGCACAAGGGTAGTAGGCAGAAACTCCAATGGGACAAGTTGGGCCCTTAAATGGACTACTGCCATCAGGCCCATAGGCCTCAGTCCAGAAAGTCTGTGGGTAGGTGATCGCTTTTGTGGGCCTCAGTTAAGAAACTACCTCCTGGACAATGATCCTCAGTTAGAACATCACTTCCTGGACAGTGTGTCTGAGTCCTTAGCCTAAGAACTTGCTTCCTAGTCAAACCTGTCTCTCTGCCTTCCTTTTATGTGCCCTGGTGTTTTGCCTGCATGGGGGTGTCAGGTACCATGAAACTGGAGTTACAGACAGCTGTGAGCTGCTGCATGACTGCTGGGATTTGAACCCAGGTCCTCTGGAAAGACAGCCAGTGCTCTAACTGCTGAGCCATCTCTTCAGCCCCTGTGCTTTTGTTTTAAGGAGCCACAGTTCCCAGGGACCCACAGGAGCCGGTTGGGATGGAAGAGGTCTTCAACATGGACTCTGCCTACTCCGAACAAGCTGCAGTCCTACAGAGGGCCAGGCGGTCCCCGGGAGGCACCTGTGCCTGGGGCAAGGGATCCCTGCCGGTGAGGATGCTGCCCCAAGGTCCCTGGACACTATTCCATCCTTCAGCTCCTCACACTGGCCAGGCTGCCAGGCACTCAGCAGGGGCGTTGTTGGCACACTCATTTACTTGATTCCTCCTGCAGTTAGCTGAGTGGGTGCTGGGTGTCAGGGACCAGGAACGGGGCACCTGGGGGCTCTCTCAGTAGTTTTGTCTTTAGAGTCATCCCTCATCCAACCAGCTGACAGATGCCTCTCGGTGGTTTTTCTAGTTACTTTGTTTGGTTTTAGAGACGGGGTCTCATCATGTAGCTCTGGCTTCCCTGGAACTCACTATGTAGACCAGTCTGGCCTTGAACTCACGGAGATAGGCTTGCTTCTGCCTCCCGAGTGCTGGGATTAAAGGTATTTGTCACTGCATTTTCTAGTTATTTTTTTTAAGTTATTCTTGGTGCCTGTTGGATAAGAGAAACTTAACTTCTTTGGATTTAGTGTTTTACTTCCCCAAATGTTATCTCAGTATATTAGGATCAATCATTTATAATGAAGTACTTAAGATTGAAAGTTAAGGCCAGGGAAATGGTTTAGTGGATAGAGGTGCTTACTACTAAGCCTGACAACCTGAGGTCAGTCTCTGGGTCCCACGTGGTAGAAGGACAGAGGAGATGACTTCAAGTTGTCTCTGGCTATCACATGTGGCACATGTATATCTACACACACACACACACACACACACACACACACACACACACGCACACACACACACACATACACACACGCACACATGCACGCACACACGCACACACATACACACATACACACACATACACAAACACACATACGTACACACACATGCGCGCGCACACACATGTGCGTGCGCGCACACACACATAAACACACACAAACACACACATACGTACACACACACACACACACACACACACACACGTACACTTACAAGGCTATAAACAAATAAATATTAAATAACTTATACTAATAAAAAAGATTGAAATTTTATTCAAAGTGCCCAGAGATTTGTGAGACAATCTGATGTTTGTAGCTGTGGGAGCTTCTGCACAGATTAAGGTCTAGAACCTTCCACTCCCTGAGGCACCCCTCCCCCCCGCCCCATGCCCTTCTCAAGCAGTCCCTCCCACAGACACAGTCAGCAGTATTCTGACTTCTTTCGTGGAACACAGTCTTCACAGGACCTGTGGTTAGTTACTAAGGGAGGTTTTCACTGACCACAGTATGATACGCTTGGATAACTGTGAGAACCATTTCACCAAGAGTCACCTCCCAAAGTATCGGGCTTCAGGCTTCTTGCACACCTGTTTGTGGTCTTAACTCGTCCCGGGAAATGAGTGTGCCATATACTGTCAATTTCTGACAGTCAAAAGAGAAATGAGTTCAGAGACGTTACGTGATGAGCTGGCTGACACAGAAGCCAGACCATGAACTCGACAGCTGCCAGACCACAGTCTTCCCACTGATCACTACACTCTACTGCTTAGGGGCTTTGTCTCACTCCCACAGTGACTGCTATCCCAGAATGAAAGAAATTCCTTCAATTCATCCAAATAGAAATTGCACACACACACACACACACACACACACACACACACACACACACACACTTAAATACAGGCACTTACTACATAGCCATGGCTTGCCTGGACTTTCCATGTAGACAACGCTGGCCTCAACACCAAAGTTCTGAGTGCCTCTGCCTCCTGAGTTAAGGCAAGTCAGCATTTGCATCTATGAAGTAGGATCTCATGACCTACTGTATTTTAGCAATAACTATAAAATGCAGTCATGTAATAGACCTTGCCTCAATAAATAAAATGAAGAGTGATTGCCAGGTGTGGTGGCGCACAACTTGAATCCCAGCACTCAAGAGGCAGAGGCACTCAGGAAACAGAGGCAGGCAGATCCATGTGAGTTAAAAGCTAGCCTGGTCTACAAAGTGATACCCTGTCCTAATAAGTAGATGATAGATAGATAGATAGATAGATAGATAGATAGATAGATAGATAGATAGATAGATAGATAGATAATGACTGAGGAAGACACCTGACTCATCTTCTGGCTTCCACATGCAGGGGCATCCATGTGTTCATCAATGCATGCACACATTCATACACAGATGCATGCATACCACACATGTACATATGTGCATGAAACACGGAATTCTTCCATCTCATTTGGGTGCCCTAAAGGGACACTGGAGGGTGTTCTGATCAACCCTGTCAGGAAATGCCAGACCTGTCCCTCTTCCTGGCCGCTTCTGGCTACACAATTCTGAAAGCTACCTGCAGAGCCCGGAAGTGGCCTCTAGGTGGTGCAGCTGAGCAACCTTCATTTTCGGTTACTACTTTACCAGTAACTTTACCAGCAGGGAGGAAGAGGAGTTATAATGCCTAGGCCAAGAGTTGGAGCAGGAGCAGAAGCATGGGTGAGATGAACAAAAGACAAGAATAGAAACAAGATAAGAGGCCCATGGTGGTCCCTCTCTTCCAGGCCCTCTTGTTGGATTGTAGCTGGCAAAAGCATCATTATGGTGACCTTGCTAGCTTTGAGCCTGACACAGTGTTGCCCCCAGGCTCATGTTACACTCACAAAAAGCCTTCTGAGGTGGGTGCTGTTTACAGTTCCCAGCAGAAAACTGGTACAGGATGTCATCATGTGACAAGAGGCAGAGCTCAGACTTGAGTCCGGTGTGGGCCCTGACTGGGGTCTTCCAAACCCAAATGCTGCTTACATCATCTTACACAGACTGTCTTTACTCCCTTCCCTAGAGGTTCAGAGTCCCCAAAGGCAGACTGGGTGTGACCAGGATAGGAGACTTGTCTTCGAGGGACATGAAGAAGATCCCCCCCTTGGCCCTGATAGAGCTGACGGCCCTCTATGACATCCTGGGCCTGGACCTAAAGAGGAGCAAAGCCGGGAAGTGGAAAGGCTCAGGTGAGCTTGTGTGCCAGATGCCTGGCTGCCCTCCAAGTTTCTGGCCTTCTAGACCCCTTCTACACACACCGCTGTGAACTTGCGCTGCCTGCCCCACTGCTAGCAAACACTCAGCACATTCCTGATACCTGTAGATGTTTTTCTGCAATTGAAAACAATTGCTAGCCCGTGGCATGGTGCAACAGTAATCCCAGTTTCAGGGAGGCTGAGGCAGGAGGATCATGAGTTTGTGACCAACTCAGGCTACATAGCAAGATTCTGTTTGAAGAAACAAAAAAGCAAAACCCAAGTCGTGTTCATTTTACTCTGTTCCTATTTGAGTAAATACAGGAAGATACAAAATGGAAAATAAGCAGTATTCACGTTCAGTGTTCTCTCTCTCTTTCTCCACCACTCTGTGTATGCACAGTTTTTCCTCTTAATATGATATGATTGTGGACACTTTCCATTTTCCGAGTCCTATATCCTGCATCTTTTCTACAGCAATGCTTCATAGTGAAAAGTCCCCCCACACACACACATGCATACACACACACACACACACACACACACACACACACACACACACACACGCACATACATACATACACACACATACATACACACACACACACACACACACACACGCACATACATACATACACACACATACATACACACACACACACACACACACACACGCACATACATACATACACACACGACCACCTGGAGCAGGTTCTCCTGGCAAGGGGAAGCACAGGGGGCAAGCACTCCCTCCCTCCTAACCCAAAGCTTCCATCTGCATTGTGCAGGTTACTGTGTCATTGATCTCAAGTATTCACACAGCCAGGCCCCAGTGAGCGGCGGGGGTGCACTCTGTGTTCCCAGTGAGGACGAAGCACAGGTTCACACGGCAGAGAGGGTGTTCAGTAGGAGTGTTGAATTTGGAGCAACAGTTCCACTTACCACAGCTATTGAACTTTCTATGAAAACATGTCAATTCTTGGAGTTGCGCTTTGGCTCTTGGGTCCTTTCCAGAAAGCCCTTAGTTGTGCCGTTAGGGAAGTATTCCCCCTAACCATTTCAGAGTTTCAGGTCTTCCATTAAGGTCTTTGGTACATCTTGAGTTTATCTGGGGGAAAAAAAATGGCTCTCTTTTGGTTCTTCTAGATGTGAAGATCCAGCTTCCCCGACACGGTTTGTCGAAGAGGCTTCTTTTCTTAACCTTGTCAAAAGTTAGGTGGCCATAGCTGTGTGGCTTTGTTCCTGGGTCCTGTGTTCTGTTCCGCAGATCTGTGTCTGTTTTTCGGTCTGATGTTTTGTCATTATGGCTCTATTGTATAGTTTAGATCGGGCATCGCGAGGTTTCCTGTGTTGCTCTTTCTGCTTAGGATTTTGATCTGTTCGTTCAGTCTTTTGTGCTTCCGTGTGAATTTTAGGATTGCTTTTTATGATTCTGGAGAATGCCTTTGGAATGTTGATAACCTGTAATATACCTGTTTCACAATATTAATTCTGGCAATCCATGAACATGGGAGGCTTTCCTGTTCTTTAATGTCCTCAATTTCTTTCTTCAGTGGTTTAAAGGAAATCATAGTTTTTAGCCATTAAAGCATTTTTCTTCCTATGGCCATACCATACTATATTTAACCATTTCCCTATTAGAGGATATGTGTTGCATCCATGTTTTCCCTGTCACAACACAGCCACAGTAGTTATATCTAACAATTGGAATGCATCTTAATTTAAAATAATATTTTGAGGCAGAATCTCACAAAATGTAGCCTAGGCTGGCTTCTAGCTTTCTGTCCTCCTGCCTCAGCCTCCAGAGTGCTAGGATTACAGGCATGCGCTATTGTGCCATGTTCATTTTACGTTCTGGGCATATGCTACCCTTTAGTAGTGAATGTGTTCATCTCACTCATCGTCTCACTGCTGGCGTTGTGCATTGTTGTTGGTTTTGTGTGGGTTCTTCAAAGACAAGGGTTGGTGGATTAGAAAGGCGGGCAGAGGGGTCTTCAAGCACAGAGGAGACAGCAGTGGAAGACAGAATGGAAGAGAAGACAGTAAGGGGGCTTGTCTGGGAACAACCTTAAGCCAGGGTGGCCGAGGCCGCTGGCTCCTGGCCCATGCCTGCAGAGCTAGGCAGCCCTGCCCTGGCCTGTTGGATCACACTAGGGAAGTAGGACATTTTCCTTTTAGTTCTTCCTTCCCGGGGGGGGGGGGGGCTGCACTGTGGCATGCCTGTGTCACCAGAGCTTCAGTTCCACCCCTCCCCAGAACTTGGTCCTCCTTCCGAGTGAGTCTGATGCTGGTGACACAACCAGACTGTGGGTCAGTCAGGAGTCACTGCAAACCCTGAGATGCACCTCTGCTCTCTGGCCTCCCGCAGACTCGGGCCTTTTTGGTGTGCCCCTTCACAGCCTACTGGAAGCTGACCACAGAGTCCTCCCCAGCACCCAGGTCCCACTGCTCCTGCAAGCTGTAAGTTATCCCTGCCCTGGGCATAATAGCCCTTGAAGGACTGGCTCTGAGGAACATTTGGGAGATGGCTACCACAAGGCAAAGAGTCTGGGCTTTAGAGAAGGGGACTTGGATTCAAATGCTGCCACTGGCATCTGCTGGCTTGGAGACCTGGGTGCAGTTTTGAGCTTCTAGATCCTTCCTTTTAATTCCACAAGCTGGGATTCTAACAACAGTTTTCTTTGGTTGAGGACTGAATGAGAACATGCCCCGAAGCTCTCAGTACAGTGCTTGGCTCACAGAAGTGTTTCAGGAAGACCAGAAGGGCTGAGGATTTGGCACAGGGGTAGAGCACTTGCACAGCATGTTCAAGACCCTGGTTCCATCCCCAGAACCACAAAAACAATGACAAGAACTCTTGTTATTTGAAGGAACCCTTCTAGCACTTTTCCTTTCCTGGTTTTCATGAGAGACAGACATACCCTGCTCGACCCGCTTGCCAGCAGTGGCTGGCTTGAGTGACGTTCTCTTCCTCTGATAGTTGCTGTCCTGCTTGGAAAAAAGAGGGCTGGGCACTGAAGGCATCCTCAGAGTCCCTGGATCCCAGGCCAGGGTCAAGGTAAAGGCTGGCTTCTTCCATCTCCAAAGGCTGCTTCACCTCTTCAAGCCCAGTGCTGTTTGTCTGGGAGAGAATCTGGGTCCTGGCTGGCCTGTGGCCTGCTTTTGGTATGGTTGTGGGATTCCAGGAAATGCATAGGTGGACCAATAGAGCCCTGGGCTCTGAGGTCACACTGCCAACACCCGTGGAGTGGAGCCCTCCACTAAGTGGCTTGACTCTGAATGACATACAATCCTCTTAGCAACCATGTCAGGAAGGTGCTGTGGTTGTCCCCACCTTGCAAGAGGACACTGAAGCCCAGACAAGGTGAGCATCTTACATGTGGGCAACTTCTTGGTGGCTCTCCTTTCTCTAGGGGTTGGAGCAAAAGCTGGAGCGAGACTTCTATGCCGGCCTCGTGAGCTGGGACAAGGTTCATCCCAATGACGCATCTGACCTGCTCAAGAGGTTCCTCCGGAAGCTGCCGGCACCTCTGCTCACAGCCGAGTACCTCCCAGCTTTTGCAGCAGTGCCCAGTGCGTGTGGCAGTCGTGAGCACGTGGAGGGAGGGTTGTGGCAGTCCTGTGGATGTTCCCAGGACCGTGGGAGGTCAGAGCCCCTGGCCTTAGTGGGGAAAGGCAGAGAAGGGCAGCGGTGGGCAGACTGTTCTACCTGTTCAGAAATGTCTGTCTCCTGGGGTCTCAAACTGATGGGGTAGGAAGTGTATTTGTATGTATGTGAGCATGTACATTTATGCACAGGCATTTGTGAGGTGGGTAATGGTACATGCGTCTGTCATGTATGTATATTGTACGTGTGTGCATAGGGTGACAGGGGAGAAGATGAAGAAGCTAGGGCTTTGGGAATTGGACCTGTTACCAGTCCCAAATAGACAGGGGACTAGCTGACTTTAGTTTTGTTCTTAAAATGTTTATTGCATCTTAAAAGTTGTGTGTGTGTGTGTGTGTGTGTGTGTGTGTGTGTGTGTGTGTGTGTGTGTGTGTCTGTGTGTTGGGGGAGCACAAGCCATGGTGCACATGTGGAGGTCAGAGGGCAGCTTTCAGGAATCTGTTCTCTCCTTTTATCATGTGGTGCTTGGAGGTTGTGACATCCATGGACTGGAACTTGTCGGGCTTATGTAACTGGACCCCTGTGTGTGTTGACCTTTCTGTCTGTGTGCACTCAGGTCAGAACCTCCTGTCCACATACACACAGATTCCTTATTGGGCTTCCTTACAGTCCTCACTGTCTGAACTCAGGATAGCCCGACAAACCTCTCTCTTTCTCTCTCTCTCTCTCTCTCTCTCTCTCTCTCTCTCTCTCTCTCTCTCTCTCACACACACACACACACACACACACACACACAAGCTTCAAGGTGGGCCTGTTGAGATGTATTAGTACCACACAAGCGTGGAGACTTGAGTTCATGTCTAAAAGTCTCATGGAGCCCCATGCCTCTATGGTCCTAGCACAGGCAGATCAGAGGCAACAGAACCTCTGGGGCCCACTAACCAGCCTGCTTAGCCAATCAGTATGCTTCAGCTTCAGTGAGTGTTTAAAAAAAATAGGGTAGAGAGCAATTGAGGAAGACCTCTATCTGGTGTCCACCTCTGGCCTTCTCTCTCTCTCTCTCTCTCTCTCTCTCTCTCTCTCTCTCTCTCTCATGATGCTTAGGCTATTTGAACATCACCATCCACAACAGCAGGGCTCTGAGTGTTCTCTCTTGCATTTGTCTCTCACAGCCTCTTTTTAAAACATGCATCAAGCCATGCATCCCCAACACACTTGCAAAAGGGCTTGGCTCATTCCCAGGTCCTGACCCACCTCCTCCTAGTACCCTTCCCAGTAGTAAGACACCCACAGAGGGTGCTCCTTCTCCTCAGCTTGTCTCCTCATCCTCCAAGCCTGTTGCTCTCTAACTAGCAAGGGTTTCCCACACCACGTCACTGCCACCTGACCAAGTTCAAAGGTCGGTGTTTTGGGAGGGCCCCTGATCTGACATGCCCTGTGCCCTTCTGTAACTTCTACACCTCTTCCTCCTGGAGTCTTTGACCTCAGATGTGGGCCAGCTTTACCTTACAACCTTCATCTTGCAAAGGGTTTTATGAAACCTTCCATCCTGGACAGGTTAGCTACCCGTGTCTCCTCTCAGGGATGACTTTCTGGCCCTTGGCATTCTTGACCCCCTAGTCATAGTTTTCAGCCCAGTATCTGTCTGTCTGGGCGTATATACAGACACACATGTGCATGTGTGGGTGTACATGCCTTGAGCATGTGTGCTTGCTTCTCATTAGCAAAGTTTGGTGAGCATCCTGACCAGCACTGGCTGGGCTTCTGTCTGAGCATGCTGGCCAGGAAGCAGTGGCAAGCCTTCTGGGAAAAGGCCTGCTGGGCTTCCCTGCACCAAATTTATCCCAGGAAGAGGCTAGCACAATGAAGTAGCATCCCTGAGCTGCTTCTCCCTCCCTCCTCTGCAGACATCCCTGACCTGAAACAGCGCCTGCAGGCTCTCCACCTGCTCGTCCTCCTCCTGCCCGAACCCAACCGCAACACCCTGAAGGTAAAAGTGGCTGTTATGCCCTGTCTCAGTCCTCAGCCTCAGTGCACCGTGAAGGTGCTCATCCTGTTCATGCCTCCATCACACAGCCATGCCAGGTGAGGGTTTGGTGACCACCACTCACGAAGTCTTTGTCTGAGGGTCTTCCCCAAAGACAGCAAGGAGACTTCTCAGAGCACACCTGATCCACATGGCGCAAGCATCTTCCAGGGAAAGGGCTCTGCATGCTGAGAAGCCTGGCAAGCCAGGAAGTGATGCATTCATTAGTCCAGACCACTCTTTCCTGAGGACTCCTCAGATGCCAAGGCCGTGTGCATCTCAGAGTGGGCCTGGAGCAGTCAACCCATCCCAAACTCGGCTGCTCACTGTCTTTTTAGCTGTGGGAGGCATGGTATGGTGTTGGTGTTCTCTGGAGAGCCAGTCTGAGAAATGGTCCCCTCAGGACCCTTCACTGTGTGATCTGGGAGTGGGTGCTGAGGGCTGGGCCTGGGACTGGAAATAACCTTGCCTTGGCTCCCTGCTCCCCATCTCCTGGCTGTCCTTTGATTTGACCAAATGGGTCAACCAGATGAGCCTGCACGGGGCCTGGGATCTTCATCTTGGGATTTCTGCTCCCTTTTAGTCAACTGGGGATGATGAAGAATTTTGTTTGATTGTTTTGGGCGCTGTAGGAGCTAGGCAGGAGAAATCATGGGATAGAGATAGTGTCCAATGTATGCCCTCCCTCTCCTCTCTCTCCCTCTCTACCTCTCCCTCCCTTCTCTCTTTCCCCTTCCCTCCTTTCCCTCAGCCTTTTCCTTCCTTTCTAGTCATCTGTTGTCTTTTCCTTCACCCACCTTCCTTCCTCCCTCCCTTCCCCATCCCCATTCTTCCTTCCCTCCCCTCCTTTTTACCTAGGTAGTGTCTTCTCATCTATCCATCCATCCCTCTCTCCTCTTCATCTTTACTATGTGGCCATTGGCACATTTCCTAAGCCAGATTCTTTCTCTGCAAAATGGGTCCAACAGTAAAGCTTCCTGTGTGGCCTTGCTGTTGACTTACCCCCAGTGAGTTGGCAAACCCAGGGCACAAAGCATCAGTAGATGGTAGCTGTGATCCACCCCTTTCTGCCCAGACTCCAGTGAAGAAGGGCTGATGTGGGTGGGAAGCCCAGGGTTGTGCTGGAATTCGAGGCATGTTCTATGCCCTTCCCTAGGCGCTCCTGGAATTCCTCAGGAAGGTGGCAGCCCAGGAGCAGCGCAACAAGATGACCTTGTGGAACGTTTCCACAGTGATGGCTCCCAACCTCTTCCTGCCCCGGGGGCGGCCTCCCAAGCTCCCCAGGGGTGAGAAGCAGCTGGCAGAGGGTGCAGCTGAGGTTGTGTGCATGATGGTGCAGTACCAGGACATGCTTTGGACGGTGAGTGACGGCCGTGACAGCAAGGCCAGGAGCAGGCCATCCACGGCTTCCACCACCCCTGGTGTGGCTGCCCACTTGCTGCTGTCTATCATGGGTGCCATGCTTCATGCCACTAGCTAGCACTCTTCTTAGGACTCTACGGGACTGTGCAGAGGCCAGTATCCTCCTCAGCCCCACCCCTCACTTTCAAGGCTAAGAAGACTACATTGTCTTTCCTTACAACCATACCTTTCACCTCCCGGCCAACTCATAGCCCTCTGGTTTCCCCTCCACCCGAGTATAGTAGATGGTCCCTAAGCTACCAGCAAGGATGTCCCAGCTTTGAGGATCAGGTGCATATGGCCTGCTCAAGGGAGGCCAAAGCCAGATAAGAAAGACAGCTGTGCCTTCACCATGAGTGTTCTGAAAACAAGCAAAGAAGTGGGGGCCACATGGGGGTGGGTGGTCCTAGTCTGCTGAAGCTGGAGGTGGTACAGGAACCCTGAGATTACTCAATGTTCCACCACACAGTTGGCACCACTCACGGGGGCAGCTCATGCCACTTGCTGTCTCCATACTATCCTATCCATCTGCCCAAACATCTTTCACCCACATATCCAACTACCCATTTATCCATTTACTCACCATCTGCCTACTTTGTCCAACCATCACCACCTATTCACCACTCACCCTCCTACCCACTGATCTAGCTATCTACTGTCTTCTAGCTATCTATCCGTCATCATTTACCTATCTCCCCATTTATGCACTATCCACTGATCAGTCATCCATCCGTTATCCGTCTACTTATTCACCCAACCATCTACCTGTGGAGTGATCAATCAGCAGTCAATAGGGCCAAGGTTTCTTTATTCAGATATACCAGCCAAGCACAGGCCAAAGCGTGCCAGAGCAGCAAGGCAGCCAGGCCAGAGCGAGGAGGAGGGAGCAGGGAGAAGGGCAAGAAGAAGGGAAGGGCCGGGGAACCTTAAGAAGCCTTTCTACTCACCTTAGATGTCCCCTCACCACGCCCTCACTGGGGCGTGTTCCAGCACACCTATCCGGGCTACTAGGAGGCGGAGCTACAGTGTCTCTCTACAATCTACTCCAGACCACCCACTCATCCATTGTGCATTTACCCACTTACTCTTCCATCTATCCATCTGTCTGTCCATCCATTCATCCATCCCCTATTTAACCATGTACCTACTTACCTATAATCTATTAATCTACCCACTATCCATCTACTTATACACCCATCCAAATACTCGACCCCCTATCCATTCATCATCCTTTACCTACATGCTCACCCATCTATCATCCACCAATTCCACCATCCATTCACCGTCCCTAGTCCATCCACTCATACACCTGTCCCTCTACCCATCTTTTTATCGTATCCCTCTCTTCACTCATGAGTTAGTTATCCCTCCAGATCCCAGAAAATGCATCCTTCTCTGAGTAGCCCCAGATCCTCTGCGCCCTGAGCCAGCTGCTGTTTCAAATGCATCTATAGTGTGGGATGAGGGCTAGAGAGACGGCTCAGTGGTTCAGAGCACCATACTGTTCTTCCAGAGGACTGGGGTTCAATTCCCAGAACCCACTTGGCAGCTCACACTGTCTGTAGCTCCAGTTCCAGGAGATCTGATGCCCTCTTCAGTCCTCCATGGGCACCACGCCACTGTGCACACACTTGGTGCACATACTCACATGCAAGCAAACCATGCAATTGCATCCTGTTTTTTTTTTTTTTTTTTTTTTTTTTTTTCACCTCTGGGTTTCGTTCAAGTCCTTCACTCAGCCTGGATGCTCCTTCCATTTTCCAAAGGCAGACGTTAGTGCCCTCTGCTCATTCTTTAAGACTGATTTCAGGGTCAGTTCTTCTGCTGAAAGTCCCCTACCACCACCACCCCAGACTCCCGTAATTCCCTTTTCTCTGCACTCAACCCTCTGAAGTTATATCAATACCAAAACATAGTGAATTACAATTTTTATTTTTTAAAGATTTTTTATTTTATCAGTATGAGTGTTTGGCCTGCATGTACACCACATATGTTCCTGGTCCCTGCAAAACCCAAAGAGGACTTCAAATCTCCCAGAACTGGTGTTACAGGTCACTGTGATGAGGGGGACAAACCAGGTCATCTGGAAGAGCGGTCAGTGTTCTTACTGTAGAGTCACTCCTCTGACTGCTACAATTTTTCCTGTTAGAGGGAGCTTTGTTGTTGTTTTTTTGAGATTCCCTAAGTACTAGGGTTCTTTTTTTTTTTAATGTCAGACAGCACAGATGTATACAGCAAGATGAGAGAAATCTCTATTGTCTTCCCCAAGGGTGTCACCATAACAAGGTTTCTACACCCCATAGTCTGTCACACCTTAGAAAGAAGGTCCCTAGATCCTGAAGTCTATGCCAGATTCTCACTCCCAGTGACTAAGCTAACCAGCAGGCTTCCAGGAGCTCTCCCAGGCCCACTGGTTGGGGTTCCCAGAGCAGGAGGCCAGTTCAGATGTATTTCAAGGAACATCTCTGCCTGGTGTGCCAATAAACAGTTCCCAACAAGCACAACTCTGTCTAGAAACCTCAGGGACCGCTCCATTCTGAGTCCAATACTCCAGGATCCTTTTTCGGACTAAACATGTAACATTTATCCCGTCAAACTAATCTTCTGGTAGCCACTTGGAGGAATCAGTTTCCAAGCCCTGCGTGGGAGGAACCTTGGTGGCTGGAATAGGACCTTGCTTGACCTCTTGCTCCGCAGCACCATAGTACCCGGCTGAGACATGATTCTTTCTGGCCAGGTTGCTTCTTTCTTGGTAGCCCAAGTGCGAAAACTGAATGACAGTAATGGCCGTCGTTCCCAGCTCTGTGATGGGGGCCTCAAGACTTGGCTGCGGAGAACACATGTAGACAGGGACAAGGATGGGGACAGGCTTGAGGCGGTGAGTTTCCCACGCCCCCCAAAAGCAGGTGAATGGAGAAACTGACTGAAGGTGGGAAAAAGGCACCTTGTTGGGGGAGGGCATCCAGGTTTCTCATCATCCCTGCCACCAAGCTGCCTGGCATAACCATCGGCAACCGCCAGGGGGCACCAGAACTGCATCGCAGAGGTGGAGGAGGAGATGCTGAGAAACCAGAGAGGCTGGGGCTAAGGGGTGGGAAGCTGCCTGGAGCAGGGAGGGGAGGGGGTGTCTCCTAGAAGTCATCTGTTTGGCCTTAATTTTAGAAGGCACTTTGTGTGCCTGCGTCGGGGGTCCGAAAGTGGATGGGAAGCTTTGTGGGACAGGGATGTGGAAGAAGGAAAGAGAACACAGAGCAGGGTAGAGTCCTCAACAGTCCCTTAGTGTGTGTGTGTGTGTGTGTGTGTGTGTGTGTGTGTGTGTGTGTGTGTGTGTGTGTGTGTGTGCGCGCGCGCGCGCGTGTGCGCGTGTGTGAGCGCGCGTGTGCGTGCGTGCGTGCGTGTGTGTGTGTGTGTGTGTGTGTGAGAGAGAGAGAGAGAGAGAGAGAGAGAGAGCCTGGATATGTGTGTGCGTACATCTGTACACAGTTCACATGTGCTCCTATGTGCATGCTTTCCCACACCTGGATGAAAGTGCACATCTGCATGCATTCCCACACCTGGATGTATGTGTGGATTTGTCTACGCATGTGGTGTGCATGTGAACACTGGTCCAAGTACACACACATGTGTGTGAATTCCAGGAATGAATTCTTCTTCATCTCCATCTCCAGACTCCCAAAGTGGCAAAGATCCAGGTGACCTGGCCTAGCATGGATCTTCTGCAGGTGCCTCTGAACCCTAGCACCAGAGTGACCCACATCCTGAAGCTGTTCATGGAGCGCCTCAACCCTGGGTCCCAGCCTGAAGAGGGCAGTGAGGACCCAGGCAGCATTCTCTCAGAGTAAGGTTCACCTCCCTGAGTCAGGAGCCTCCCTTCTCTCCTGCAGGGTTTTGGGAGGGCTCAGTCACTTCCAGCTGCAGGCCATGGGGATTTAAATGTGTCCTTGCCTGCTCTTGGCTGTCCTCTTGCTGTGGTGGTCACAATGGGTTCTCCAACCTTTTCGGACTTCTTGGCTCCAAATAATAACAAAGAGGGTCCTCGTTCATTATTGATTTTAATATATATCTAGTAAATGGCTACTATAGGTCAGATACCATGTGGAATGCTAAAATGGCAATGAAGGGACTCAACAGAGGGGCTGGAGAGACAGCTCAGAGGTTAAGAGCACTGACTGCTGTTGCAGAGGACTGGAGTTCAGTTCCCAGCCTCCTAGGTCAGGCAGCTCACAACCACCGATAACTCCAGCTGCAGAGCATACAATGACTCTGGTCTCCACAGACAGCCACACACATGTATTCCCCCCCCCCACTACTCACAATTAAAAATAAATAACCAAAGAGGTCCTGGCCTTACCATGGCTCATACCATGTGAAAGAGACAGATATAAATGGAGTAGCCATCAATTGTCAAGTTAAAAACTGTATTAGCTTTTATAAGAAATACAGGGAGCAATATGTATGTGCAATGAGATGCCTACTATAGTCTGAGGAGCAAACAGGGATTCTGGGCACAGAAAATTGCATGTGCAAAGGTCCTAAGGCCAAACACATCACTGAGACTTGATTTGTGGGGATCATTCATAGGCACAAGAAGTAGCCGGAGCCCTCAGGAACTTCCTTCATGGGTTTGGCACAAAGATTCTCAAAGTGTCAGCCCTTACCAAGTGTCTGATCCAATTCCTCCTGATGTAGATGAGAAAATGAAGGCCCAGAAAAGGGATAGGGCATGTCCACAGAGCAAGTCAGGGGCAGACCCTGAAGATGAATTCAGGATACCCATAATTGTCATAATTATATCCTTATGTGTTATAGCTATCACACATACTATACAATGCCCTATTTTACGTTGATGCCGAATCTACCTCTCACAGCAGGGACCTCTTTCTACTTGTCACCAATCTCACCCCTTTGAAGCCCATTTCTGATGCCTGGCAGAAAGGGACCTCATGGTAGGGTGCCTGGGGCTGGTCTTTCCCAAGGACTATCTGGATGTCTCTCCCCACTGCTGGCTGTAGGCCTCCTTCATTGACTCTAGTTCTCTCAGAAGGGTCCATAAGCCTTTCTAAGTAGGACCGCAAACCCTTGAGGATGCCCCCTTTCAGTCCTGGGGTGGTCTTGCTTTCTTCAGCAGAGGCCAATAGACTTTTTTCCTCTGTCTCACAGCAGCACGAAGCCGGCCAACTTCCTTGTCTATGAAGTTGGAGGGAATATTGGTAAGTTCCCCTGTGGGAAGTGAGTTCAAAGCCCGGGCTCCTGGGAGCTCTTTGACCTTGAAAGGTCAGAATGAGCCTTCCCTCCAGGCTGAGGGAATCCTGCTGTGAGGGTCAAGATGAGTATGGATGACTTCAGTACTCTTCCTGCTTGGGCAGCTCTACCCAGGGCTGACTCACGGATGGAAGAAGACTGACCAGTGTTTAGTGTGAAAGTTGTGAGTGCTACCATAGATGTCTCAAGGACACCCCAGGGAAGGGAAATCTCAGTCCTGGATGTGAGTGCCTTAGGAATGCTGTAGGCCCACCAGCATCCAGCTCCAAGGGGCCTTGCTTTGTGAGAACCAAGGACAAGCAATGACCCTTAAACTTGAGTGGGGCATTAGAATCTCCTCCAGGGCTGTGATGACAAATGTCTGTATCTTGTGAACTCGTGTTTCTAATAAGTTCCTTCACACTGCTGAAGCTGCTGGTCCAAGGACTAGACTACCCCAGGAGAGCCACTGGCCAAGAAGGGGAGACAAGACATGGTCCAGCAGTTTGTGATGGCTGAAGGACAGCTTTGTATGGAAGCAGTGGAGGAGAAGAGCTTGCAGGATCCACCAGGGGGCTCTAGAACTCATGCTGCATAGCTGTATCAGTGCTGGAGGCTATTCCACATCCTTTGGTGTGGATGCCTGGGGAAGAGAGGCTGGGTTTCCTAGCAAAGAAAGTATCTTTCACCACAGAAATCGCCTCAGAGAAAGGGGTAACTGTGAGCCACAGCAAGGCTCCCATAGCAAGAGGGTGGTACCTTGCCTGATGGGAGGCTCTGGGAAAGATAACAGAATCTTTCCCATTCCTATTCTCAATCTCTGGGGTCCCTTCTTCCCACAGATGAACATCGCCTGGACCCAGATGCCTACCTCTTAGATTTGTACCGTGCCAACCCCCATGGTGACTGGGTCATTAGACAGAGCCCCACCTAAGCCTCAAATCCTAAGATACAGCCTGGAACACCCGGCCTGGGAGCTGAGTTCTTCATGTGGAAAGCTTGGCTCTTCCTCCAAAGTCCTTCCTCCCAGGAAATACCTCTTCCATGCCACACAGCACAGAGATGGACTGTCTCCCACCAACCCCCTTTGCCCCAGAGCCCCAGAGGGTGCTGCCCAGGGCACTTGCATCTCCACAGGAGTTTGTCCACAATTTCCAGACCCAGGGGGCATGAAACTGTAGCGCCTCTCTCAAGAACAGGTGGGAGTTTCCAGAAAACATTGCAACCCCACGGTATGGAGTGAGAAGTCACTGTGACTATGGAAGACCCCTTGTCTTCTCTGAGACCCCAAAGATGCTGTGGACAGCCCTAGGAGAACTGGACAGATGACAGACTTCCCCTTCGCACTCTTGTGCTTTATGGAACCTTGTCATTTTATAGCATATTTAAGTTGCTTCAACAATAAACACACAACTAGCTCAACACCACTTTTGTTTCGTTCTCCCCAGCCTGGCTCATGGTGGGTGCTATCTTTCTGGCAGTTGACTGGAGCAAGGAGATGAAATGTCTTGCTGTGCTTCTTGCAATGGCTCTGGCTGGCTATACCTTGATCCTGCCCCAGCCAGCAGGCCCTGAGGAGCCCTCAGAGCAGGGAGGGCTGCTGGAGGAAGGACAGCAATTGCTGTAAAACGATGATGAATCATTGGCACTCTTAACACCTATCACTTAGGACCCCAGATCTGTCCCTTTTTTTCTCCTACCCAAGTCTGCCTTCTCCTCAGGAGAAGTGAAGCCTCATTCATTTATTTTTGTTCATTCAGTAACAAATGTATTGAGTCCCCGATTTATACCAAGAGTTGTGCAAACTCCATCTTCACGATACTCCAGTGTTTCCACGTCAGCTCTTCTCAGTAGACTCTGAGATAGACTCAAGACCAAGTAGTGCTCCTGGAAGCATGGAGGGTGAGCATATGATAAGGAAGGGAAGACCATTAGAGGGCGCATCATCAAACAGGTTGCCACAACCGGCAGGTAGAGCTTAATTCTGCTGAAGGACCCTGAGAAACAATGTAGAAACTGTTCACTTGAGCCACCCCATTCCAGGGGTAGAGAACGAGGGTGGTGGGTGCATGGTGAGCAGAGGGGAAAAATTCAAGTCCAGGTACAGGATACAGGCTGATCCTACTATGATGGGAATTTCTCCCTCACACTTCTAGTCCGCCTGGGGGCTTTGCAGAGTGGGCTCTGACTGCCAAAGAGCTCTTGACTAAAGATACAGATGCAGTTCAAAACGGTTACTGACTCTGTGAATACTGGAGGGATAGAAATGGCTTGGTGCTGATAACATCTGCTTCATCCTATGGCATGCTAATGGTGGTAGCAATAGTGGTGGTGATGGTGGTGATGGTGGTGATGGTGGTGATGGTGGTGATAACAGGATGGTGGTGATGGTGGTGATGGTGGTGATGAGGGTGATCATATAGTCAGTAGGATGATGGTGAGGATGGTGGTGTTAGTGATGAGGGTGATGGTGGCACTGTGAGTGACAACAATGGTGGTTACAGTGGTGGTAAATGATGGTGATGGTGGCAGTGATGGTGGTGCCATGTTGGACGCTGTGACTATATAAAAACAAGATATTTAAATATCTCCTCTATGTGTTTGGATGTTTGGCCTCTGTATATCTGTGTACCATTTGCATGCCTGGTGCCAACAGAGACCAGAAGAAGGCATCCCGTCTCCTGGAACTAGAATTACAGATGGCTGTGAGCTGCCGTGTGAGTGCTGGGAATCAAACCCAGGTCCTGGGAAAGAGTAGCCAGTGCTCTTAACCAATGAGCCATCTCTTCAGCCCCAGGTTAAAATATTGTATTGGCTTTATTTGTGATTCTAGAAATGGGCAGGCTTCCAAAATTAGAAGGGATTTAAAGAACTCAGGAATAGAATGTGGCCAGGAAACAGGAATGGCAAAGAGACAACTTAACTGCTTTTGGTGTGTGGCCTTTGCCTTCCCAAGTCAGCTGGTCCCTGAGGGACACTCAGTTGCTGTGGTGGTGGGAGACTCAGTTCGTATGTACCACGCATGCCAAAGTTGGGCTCTCACGGAGTGGTGCTGCAAACCATTGGGAAAAGAAGCATGCAGCAGAAAACACTTCTTCAGGCCGAAATTACGTGACAGTGATGCTGATGCTGGTGCGGGTGGGAGCTGATTGATGGCTATGGTGGCAATGATGGTGGTGGCAGTGATGGCAACTGGGGATGATGATAGCGGTGATAGTGAGAGTGTGATAGTGGCAGTGGTGGTGGTGGCTGGTGATGATGGTAAGATGATGGTAACTGATGACAATGACGGTGAGGATGACTGGTAATGGTGGTGGTGATTGGGAGTGGTGGTGGTGGTGACTGGGGTTGACGATGTTGGTGACGATGGCGGTAATGGTGATTGGTGAGGATCATAGTGGTAGTGGTGGTGGTAATTGATGACAATGACCATGATGACGACGGTGACGATGACAATATCAATCCTGTTGGAAGCTTTCCCACTGAAAACCTAGAAGAATCTCACAGCACTTAAAGCAGTATTCCGATCTGTTCTCAGGCCTTCCAGGCAGTCTAGTGTCCCTGGCTCTGTCTCCACAGCCACCCATGTTTGCCAGACACATGCACCTCCTTCCAGGTCCCCAGAAAACCCAAGTTCATTCCTGTTCCAGGGCTCGCACCCTTGTAGTTACCTCCTCTTAAAATCCTTTTCCACAGCCAGCCCCTCCACCTCCAGGTCTCAGGTCAACTGTCCCTTCCTCCAAGAAGCCATTTCACCTGAAGTTGCTCCCTTGTGTTCTCGTTCTTTTCTCTCTCTCTCTCTCTCTCTCTCTCTCTCTCTCTCTCTCTCTCTCCCCATACGTGTGCATTCCCATCATCAATTTTCTTCTTAGCATTTTACGACTGCCTGAAACAACCTAGTTGAATGAGTTTCCCTTCTGTCTCCTTGGTTAGGGAGCAGTTCCTCAGAGGCAGATGTTACACGGGGGGGGGGGGGGGGGGGGGGCCCCTGAGTGCCAGTGTGGCGGGGGGATGTAAGTGCTTAATGAAAACTGGTCGGCTGGATAAATGAGAATGGGTGTGTTCATTCTTTGTCCTCTGGACCTCTGGAGCCTGTGTGCTCCAGAATCCATAGCTGTCTCCTCACTCTGACCTACCTGTTTGGAAGCACAGATGAGAAAACTCACAGAGAGTACCCATAGCACTTTTTCAGTACTATTATTATTAATGAGAGCCCGGCAGTTTGCAGTGGTGACGAACACTGTCCCCACATGGGTCTCAGCACCTGTGCTGGCCTCATTGTGTACCTCTTTCACTAACTCACCCAGCCAGGATGACCACAAACTCTGTAGTTAGTTTGCTAACCTAGGCAGGAGGCAGGCACTCACTCTGGAAGTTCTGTGGGAGCCTTGGCTTGGCTGTGTGATTCCATTGCAGGCAGCAAGCCCTGGCTGAGGGAGGGGGAGGGAAACCCCAGCTTAATCACATGTCAGTTGCCCCATTCATCTTCAGAGCTATCTGAGAACTCATCGTTTTCCACCCAGTGGCGTCTTCATGATTGATGATCCCATGGCCGCTCCTCTGTGGGCTTAGCACAACCCACAGTGGGGGCCCAGCTTCTTCAGGCTCTTTGCAGTCTGGGCTTGAGTCCTGGGTCTCTGGGGTGTGGTTAGGAACCGAATCACATCCTCCCAAATCCATATGGTGATGCTCTGGCCCCCAAGTGACTGAGTTTGATATGAAGCCTTTGGGGGCGGGGGTTAAAGTTCCAAGAGGCCATCGTGTGGGGCGCTAGTCTGATAGGACTGGTACCCTGATAGGAAGAAGGGGAACCACAGTAGTATTCTCCCCATCCAGAGCACACAGGAAAGGCCAGGAGAAGACACAGAGAAGGGGCAGAGAGCCTCAAGGCAGAACAGAAGACAGCCTTACTAGAAAGTATATTGCCGCCGGCAGGCCTGAAGTCTAGAAATCCAAGATCAAAGTACAAGATGATGTGCTCTCTGCAACGGACCAGTGTTTATTTTCTGATTCCCATAGCAGGGTACCCCACCCCCATGCTTTTGAAAGGAAGAATGATGGAATTTAACCAGATATCCTCAAATGGAAAGGGCAAAGGGCAGAAGTGATGCCAAGCGGAAGATAGGAGTAACCCAGTGCGCAGGCGCATGCTCTCCCGGGAGCGGCAACTTTTAGGCGGGATACACCAGGTTCAACATAAGCCTTTGACTCCATTCCACCTGTTCAGGCTGCAGGTAAGCTGCCCAACTACTCTGCATCTAGAGGGTCAGAAACTGTTTTCAAGATGCAGAGACAACCGTGAGGGTGTACGAGGGGCCTACAGTCTGTCAGTGGCTGCACTGAATGCCCAGCACTGCGCTGGGCTAAGTTCAGAGTATTATTGAAAAGGACAGGAAAGGACCCAGCCTTCACGGAGCTCATAGACTGGCAAGACAGACATCAACCCAGAAATGAAAGACATCACAGTGTGAGAAATTCAAATGGATAGAGAGGAGAGAGGAGGCCAGGAACGTGTGACTTTAGAGTGGTCCAGAGCTGGGCCCTCCAAAGCTGGCCTGTGGGTAGCTGCAGCTCAGTGCTACTGGGAGTTCTGACCTCAGTCGTATGGCCCTCCGCTTAGCGGTAGAGAGGGTTTACACTGCAGAGTCCTGTTCCCGGTAAGAGCTAGGTTGGGGTGGGGTGGGTATTGTTCTATTCAACCCCAGCCCCACCCACGTGCGGACAAGCCGACCACTTCCAATACAGACAAGACCTTGGACAGAGCACCCCAATGGTGTGTACAGGCATCATGGGTTCCCAGAGGATGTGGAGGAATAGGTCAATGAGACATTACCAAAGAGGTGACACTTGAACAGATCCAAACTGCGACCAGCCATGGGGACAGCTGATCACAAAGACCTGCACATAGAAGGAGCTATGGGGGTGGGGTGGGGGTGGGGGTGGTAGAGGGACCCCTCAGTCCACGCCCACAACTTTCTTATCCAGATCTCCCACTCTGCCTCCAGTCAGGCTTTCTCCTTTTCCCTTTCTCCTTTTCAACCTTCAGTTGAACCAGGGATTGGCTATCCAGTACAGGAGGTGGAGCTTTGGTGGGAGGCTCAGTCCGGGAAGTGTGGGCCCTATGTTGTGCAAGGAGGGAGAGACCCAGTAGAAGACGAGGCTACAGGGCAAACTGACAAATTCTAAAGCCACCACCCCACTTCCCCAGTACTGAAGGAGGCCATCTCTGGCGCGTCGGTAACATGACCTCCAATATGCAGCAACAGAATTCTTTCTCAGCTATAGGATACCAAATTGAGGCCGAATTTCCTCTTGAGTCTACAGTCCAGTAGAGGAAGAGATGCTAAACTTGAGGCGTCACACAAATTACTGTGTGATTCCAGTTGACAAAGGAGACGGAGGTAGGGGCAGAGTCCTTCAGT